GTTAAAAAAAATCCATGTCTTTTAGTCATAGAAAAGAGCATTCAAGAGAATTCCCAGAGCAGAAATTGTTCTGTTTTCATCTAAACCACTGCAGCAGAGTACTTAAGAAGACAATCATAGAAATACTTTGCAAGAAGCTAACCCTGGCATTTTTAAATTTTTTTTTTTTTAAGATTTTATTTATTTGCGAGAGAGAGAATGAGAGACAGAGAGCATGAGAGGGAGGAGGGTCAGAGGGAGAAGCAGACTCCCTGCCAAGCAGGGAGCCTGACGTGGGACTCGATCCCGGGACTCCGGGATCATGACCCGAGCCGAAGGCAATCGCTTAACCAACTAAGCCACCCAGGCGCCCCATAACCCTGGCATTTTTTAAATGAAATAAGAGTTGCACTTCAAACCTCTTCCTAAATCTGAGACAAAACTTTTTAGAGTTATGGGCAAGTAACTTATGAAAAGTCTTTACTGGAATTACTTTGCATTGAACAGCTATCAACATTGAAACTGAAAATTCTGGGGTGCTTGGGTGGCTAGTCAGTTGAGTGTCTGACTCTTGGTTTCGACTCGGGTTATGATCTCAGGGTCGTGGGATTGAGCCCCGCATTGGGGTCCTCGCTCAGCTCAGAATTTGCTTGAGATTCTCATTGTCTCCCCCTCTGTTCCCCCCCACCCCCTTCTCTCACTCTCAATCTCTCTCTAAAAAAATAAATAAATAAAATCTTAAAAAAAAAAAGAAACTAGGGCGCCTGGGTGGCTCAGTTGGTTAAGCGACTGCCTTCGGCTCAGGTCATGATCCTGGAGTCCCGGGATCGAGTCCCACATCAGGCTCCCTGCTCGGAGGGGAGCCTGCTTCTCCCTCTGACCCTCCCCCCTCTCATGTGCTCTCTGTCTCTCTCATTCTCTCTGTCTCAAATAAATAAATAAAATCTTAAAAAAAAAAAAAAAGAAACTAAAAATTCTAAGCACTCAAAATACTAGGCAGACATTATTCAAATCCAGTCTGAATCGGCACTACTCAGTATAGAGCAAGGACCTGTATGAATGCACCAAAGAGAATTAGAGAATAATACAGAATCCAGAAACAAAAGGGCACATATAACCAGAACCAGACAGATACACCACCATTTGCTTCTTCTAAATGAGAAGTCAAATGATAAATATGTGACAATATTATTTGCGGATATATTTGTGCCCCATTTAACTGGTTAGGAAACTGGATATAGTTCATTCCATAGTCCATTAATTCTAGGAGTTTAATTCTCAAATATTCATCTTCGTTTCCTTTATAAATTCCCAGGCTAATATAATTGGTTTTGGTATTTTTAAAGAGAGGTCCAGACTGGATGGATCCAAATGGCATTGGTAAAAAATATTTTAGTACCAGGAAAAAAAAAATTTAGCTTAATTTAACCCAGATAAAAAGAAACTGTCACCAAATTGCTATTAAATGTGACCTTTCCTATTTGATGACACAAGCTATGAGAATACCTTTTATGATCTGTTCTGCCTATGAGAACCAGCACCACCTATTATTATAATAGGGATTATCATTTGCTACTATTTATTGAATGTGCAGTTTCCTAAGCGTTTTGCAAACTTCTCATTTAATGATCATAACAATCCTATGACTCCAGTATTGTTATGATCACTATTTTACAGTTGAGAAAACTAAGTCCTGGAAAAACTGAATGCCCAGAGTCACATAGCTGGTAAGTGGATAAAATGAGAATTTGGATTCCAGCACTCACATTCTTAAAGTGATTTCCAAAAATGCTTTGTGGTCTGAGTCATAACTATGTGAACATATGACAAAGTCATTGTTGGGTGTACCTTCTTGTTGGTAAAGGCTGATATTTTAGGAACATTAACATTATTTTGAAAATGGTGCTTTGACCTTGCCTTCTGTTTCTGAGAGAGGAAGCACAGGATCTAACTGATAATTTTGGACTTTTACACCTCAGTAGCAAAGGGTCAAGACCAAAAATCAGGACACGTTAAAAACTGTTAACTTTCAGTGTTATATCTAGGAGTATGGCCAATAAATGATAAGTAATCTAAGTCACTGCAGTGAAACCAATAAATTTTATACATGGTAAAAGTACCTGAATCTTCTAAGCCTTTTACTGACTTTAACTGGCTATAAATTTTTTATGAAAAGGTTAGAGAGTCTATTTTTAATGTCTGGATGTTAACCTTGTTTATAACATTATTAGACTGGTAACAGTTACTAAAAGAAGAAAAGTATTAAGTATACATGAGTTTCAGATAGGGAGCAAATGCTAAGATTTATTCTCTTTTCTGAGTGTACAAGAGATAATAAAATAAATTACTAGTTTAATCTTTTAAAGCAAACAGAAGTTAAGAGATCTGTAACCATTCGGAAAAGAAAAATGAAGATTTGAATTTTTTTTTTTTTTAAGAAAATTGTCGTGTGCCAAAATTATGAATTTTTCTCATATCCTTTAAATGATGAAAAGCCAAGTTGTATTTTTGGATTAAGTTTCAAAATTCTCATGGTAGTTACGAGAAAAATTTTATAAAGAAAAAAAAATGCATCCAAATTTTAGTTTAAGGAATCGTAGAACGCCAACACACGTGATATTTTTGGAAAGCTGGTGCAGCCCAGATTGCCTCTCATTGAGAAATATAGCAGGGTACAGAAAGTCCTGGTTTCTGTGTTACATATCATGATGCTCCCCAGAAACCCACGCTTACTAGCAAAATAATGGACACTTTTTCTTCTCTTCCTTCATATGCCTTATTAGCTTTGAACTTTTACGTATTTAGATATAGCAGTATTTTGGCTACAGAGTTGCCCCCTTTGCCTTCCTAGGTGTTTGGACATTATTTTCTGTTCCATATTTTATTTGAGTTTTAGTCGTAATCCTGGTAGTGGTGCTCTTTGACTTAAAAGTTCTTTTAACTCTGGGGCACCCGGGTGGCTCAGTTGTTTGATGGCTGGCTCTTGGTTTCAGCTCAGGTCATGATTTCATGGATCATGAGATCAAGCCCAGCACCGGGCTCCTGGTTCAGCAGGGAGTCTGCTTGAGGATTCTCTCCCTCTGCCCCTCCCCCCACTTGTGTTTTCTCTCTCTCTCTCTCAAATAAGTAAATAAACAAATCTTCAAAAAAATAAAAAATAAAGTTTTTTTCAACTTCTATTATGTTAATTTAAGAATGAATCAAGTTCTTTTTACATTAACAATGGTAGATTAAAAAAGATTTGAGCTTCAAGATAAAGGAAACCACACTGTACACTCTGAAGGGAGGATCCCAATATCTCAGGAACATTCCTGCAGTAGAAAACACTTGTACATGGGAGAGAGACAGGTCTGTGTGACCCTGAGAACATCACTTAACCACTTGCGGGCTCTGTTTCTGCATTTGTAAATTCCGGCAAGTGCCTACTTTATAACATTTGTCTCTGCTGATTGATGAAACATCACATGTAAAGCCCCCAGCAGAAAGCCTGATACACAGTGGCTAGTTAACATTAGTTACTTTATTTCTCTAATCTCTATTTACTGTACATTCTTGAATAATAATAAAGACCAACACCAGACAACAACCCTTAACTTTATACCTAGTAAATTCAGGCGACTGAGGAGACTCGATCTCATATGCTGTATGGAGGTCAATTTTAATTTTTCTGATTCTTGGTGAATTCTATATAGTAATTACAATTAGAAAATGTACACCTTATTCCTTTCCAAAATTTCATAATTTACTTTGCAACCCAGTGACATAAGATTGAATATACTTGTTTTAGAGATTAGAAAAGTGTCACTTTCTGAATTGAAATGACTTGATAAAAGTGGAGATGGAATTTCAATTTCAGTCTGGGCTTTAAGTTTTGGGTGGTTTCATGACACTGTGTAACCTTTTTACAAAAATAAATGTTTTTCCCTTTTATAGCAACATGTTAGTAGACAGTTGGCCAATATAAGAAAAAATATGTTAGGCGCTAAAAACTTTTTGAAGTAACTCAAGAAGTTAGGTTAGTCTATGAAGCAGATAAGAACTGAGTATCATTTACTTTTTGTTAACTTAAAATTAGCCAGGACTTTTCACTTCCCAGTCAGCTCTGTCAAACACACACACACACACACGCATGCACCACCAACATTCACCACACTGTAGTGAACACTGAAGTCTACTAGATACTTTATTCATGGCATAAAAATCTTAGTAAAAAATAACACAAAATCTCAACATCCATGAAACCAAATAATATCTAAGATGTATAATATCATCTAGAGTCCTTATTGAATGAATATGATGAATGAATAATCCAAACACTTCATTTAAGCTAACAGTTTAAAACTCTTCTCATTCTAATCCATTTTTTTAAAACTAATTAGGGAGAAGGGAGGAAATAATTTTTATTTTATTCTGTCATTTCTTTTTTTGAGAGAGAGAGAGAGCACATGCATGTGAGTGGGACGGAGAAGGGGGGCAGAGGGAGAGGGAGAGGATCTTAAGCAGGCTCCATGCTGAGGGTGGAGCCTGATGCGGGGCTACATCTCACAACCCCAAAGATCATGACCTAAGCTGAAATCAAGAGTCAGATGCTTCACCAACTGAGCTACCCAGGCATCCCTTTTCTCTTATTTCTTTATCCCAAATTTTAACAATCAGTTGTCCATTAGTAAAATGCATATGGCAGAGAAGAAAAGAAACCAGAGTCTGGACAACTAGTTTATGATAAATGAGAAATAAAGCATTATTTTTGGTCAATATTCCCACTAAGAGCAGTCCAGATCATTTCCCAGACAAAACTGACATTCGGTTGTTATTTTTGATCTATCTACTTTGCTGCAATAGTAGGTCTAGATACAAATGCTTGAGGCTTCAGAAGTTGGTAAGGGGATGAAAATGGACTTTCATAAGTCTGAATCACTGATATTTTAGTAAATTCAATAGACAAAAAATAACCCGGGGCTACTGGCATATATCTATAGACAATGAGTGTTTCTTCATTGTGCACAGAGGCATGCCCTTACCTGATTGCAGGTATTGATGTCTATGCCCCCCTTCAGATATTCCACTACTTTGTCCAGGTTGCCTGCTCTGGCAGCACGGAGAAAGCTCGCATTGCTGTCAGACTGTGAGGGGAAAAAAAAAAAAAAGACCTCCAGTGAATTATTGTTAAATAAAAACATATCAAAGACAGAAAGACAGAAATGTTTACACTGCAAGTAAGAAAAGCTTTGGTTGCAAAACACTCCAATATCGAGTTTAAAACACTGAAGAATAATTCAGAGGATAAGGTAGCAACTTCGTAGTATTTCTAGAGAGTTGTTTAAAGTCAACAGGAAACACGTCCTGCTATATTAAAGAGTGTAAAAGAACTCTTAATATAAAAATTGTTCCTGCTTTATTCTCAATCTTTAACCACATTTGAAGATGAATTTACACTACTCCCAAATCCACTGTTACCCATTCATTTTCGCTTCAAGATGCTTGTGACCTTATAATGAGCTTAATGTCAAGCCAAAAAGGAATCTGAAACGTAAAAGAAATTAAAGGGACTGGGCTTCTTTTTTTCTCCTTTTTCCTTTACTGTTTGGTTTCTCAGATGAGTCTGAGGGAGAATGCTGAGTATGGGTCACTTGGCAGTCATCTGTTCTCATTACAAGGGAAAAACAGAAAGCTCCGAGGATGCTTTGAGGAAAGAGGAGAGCACTAGTTGGCAGGTATGGATGGACTGGGCCAATGCAAATTTTGTGATCCCAGTGATTTTGGAAAAACAAGATTAAATTTAACCCAGCTGACACAATACCAGACTAAAATCCCTTGGTAAAGATAAGCACTCATAATGGAGGCTGCTTTTTAACTCCTCTTCTTCCCCCCAGAGCCTCTCAACATCTGATCCTGGAAGAAACAGCTGAATTTTCCCCACAGAACATCCAGAGGAGAGCTGCTTCTGAGGTGAAGCTACAGTCCCCCGGCCGCTCTAGCTTGCCTGCAAAGCCTAACTTTTGAATCTTAACCCAATAACAATGATAAACTTTGTAGGTTCCAAGACACTGATGTAACTTTATAATTCTTCTTGTGGTATAGTATCTGACTAAAGAGAACATGAAATGTGGTAACATGAAATGGGATGTCACTGACCTACTAGGAAGTGAGACACAGTTGTGAAATCTCATAATCCAGCACCTCTCCCCGGTAGGCTCCCCTGCCTCTCCCCCTCGAAGAATGTGTTTGGCAGGGCCTCTTGGCACACTCTTTCAGACCTATTTATTATGACTGGTGATGATGTACAGGGATAGAAATGGAAGTATTTTCTCTGGGAGTCTCAAATTGGGAATTATTTGCATATTGTTAAAATGATTTACACATGAGAAGACGGAAAGCCGTAGGACCAAATTACCTCACATTTAACCCAAATACCATAATGACATATATTTACAAATCAGACAGATAATGTATGAAGAGTGGAAAGGTATGACTGAAATCTGTACATCTGGAATTCATGCCCTGATGCTGTAGAAGTGGATCACGGTCTGGCTGCTATCCGACCATTCTTCCCTCCCTGCACGGCCGCCATGCCTCACTCTTCACCCCTCCTGAGAGCCGTGCCCATGGCCGGGTGCCCTAAGTATATCTGCAATGCTGCAGTGACTGAGTTGTGACTCATTTTAAAATGCCTACTCTATGAAATTATTTTGTGGTTTGTGGCAAATTCTAAACTCCAGGAATATTTTCCACCTCGGGTTTCTTGCCACAGCACTTAAAAGGGAAAGATAATGCTAGGCATTATATTCTGTCAAGACCTCACAGGAAACATTATTTACTGTAAAACAACTAAAATTAAATAATATTTGGGCACAGGTAGGAAGTATGACATTATTTGCCATACATAGTTTTAAAAAATAAATCTATGTGCTATATGTTATACATTATATTAAAGATTATGCCTAGAAACTACTGCCATGTTGTACATGAGACTTAATAATTATAGTTAACATTTATCGCTCACTGGGGGTCAGGCACAGAGCTAGGGGGTTCAGCCAGATGTATTATATCCTTAATCTTCACAATAATACTATGAGAGAGAAACTATTATTATGATGCTCATTTAATAAGTGAGGAAAGAGGTTTAGAAGGTTTCCAAGGCCACACAATTATTCAGTGGAAGACCCAAGATTTAGCTTATGTTTATCAGCCTAGAGCTAGTCTTAACTGCGGCTCTATCTCACCCCCCCCCCAAGCATCAAAGCAGATGTTACTACGGATACCTAGCCTAGGAGCTATAGGTTTGTTTCAGTTGTGAGAATCACTGTTATGCCCTTGGTCTACATATTTGTGTATGTAAATCATGGCACTTGCTAAATACTCAGCTGGAGAGAGAATTCCTGGCTGACATCCCTGTCCCCACATCTCTCAACCATCTATACACCTAGAAAAAGTATGAGGTGGCTTGAGAAAAACTACTTAAAAACATAATCATTTGAGAACAAGGAAAAGAGGTGGTAAAGCACACATTGCATTTAAAAGCCAGTTGACTATCTGTCTACATGCCTAATCTGATTAAGCTCAGGAACTAAGATCAGGGTGCCCTATCATTCCTGTAAAAAAAAGAATGCCGTGAATAAGTAGAGCTAGAGGGAGCACCTGATCCGGAAGGGTTGAAGAAACACATGCAGACATGACTGCAAGAGCCTAAAGGAAGATGTTGGTCTGAAGGGAGCTGGAGGCGTCACTGAGGAGTGCCCAATAAACCCTCTTAGAACCTTCTTTAGGGACTGGGCATGACATGGAAGATTGCTTTTGCTGTTACATAACTGGTTTTCATAGCTGGTTTTCTCTTTTCTGAAGCAAACTTCTAAAATGTAGGTGCAAGTCAAAGACTTGCATCCAAACCCTGGAATTTTAGCAAAATATCTTCCCAGTGTTCTGGAGGGTCTAGACCCAATGGAAAGGCAACATCTGAGCCATCCCACCAGGGACCTCTCCAACAGTGAGTCATGGTAGCCTTTGCTATAAGTTGGATTCTTTTAGAACCTGTTAAAAAATTTGGTTCTCCTGAAGTGAGAAAATGCATTATAAATGCATTTTGCAAATGCAAATAAATGAAAGTGTTATTAGAAAACAGTTCCAGAACATGGGTTTCAAGAACAAAATTAAAATGAGATTTCCAATTTTATGTATAGATATTGACATCCTTTTAGGTGAAAAGTATAGACCTACATGGAAATATATATTCTTTTCCCACTTCCACATAGACACAGGCCTACCATCCGTTACAATGAGGTCAATCTGTGATTAAAGCACTTGACACAAGAGCTTAAGATAAACAGTAGTCAGTCTGGTTACCTTCAATCAACACAGAGATGAAAGAGGATTCAGGGACTCATGCACTGTGAGAGATGCAGCAAATTTTACCATACCGTGTTTCCCTCTGAGTATGACAAAAGTAATTATTTCCAAATTAAGTGTAAGTACGGGGGAAGTATGCTTTCAAAATAGATTGTTGTCCCCTGGTTCAACCAGAAGATTTCACACACAACAGCTCAATAAAGAGAAAAGGAGGCAATAGCAGCTCGTTGGGGGAAAGTTTCCAACAAATGTAAAACTAACCTCTTTCTGCTCCGCTGCTTTATGTCCCTAGGACTCCCAAATCCTAAAACCAATTTTACTCATGCCTATAAAGTCTGATTCCAGACAAGGAATTCAAATGCTGAGCCCCACTTATTTTCATCTGCAACAGATGGAGGTCATTAAAACTTGCCCCTGTTACAACCCTGGTGTGGCATCTCAAGCCAAGAAAGAAAAATTTCCTTTAAAATTCCTCTTGACACAGTTCTGTACATTTTTTGTATCTGAATGTTAGAAAAACAGAATACTTTCTTGGCCCCCAGCAGGGTGGACATGAGAGGCAAGAGGAATGTGCATTCACAAAGCCACACTGTATCCTAAAGAAGTACATCCCCAGAGTCCGGAGGCATATTCACAGCTGTCCAGGAGTTTGCCACAAGATTTTTTTTTTTTAATTCTGTGCTTACATTTCAATAATAATCTAACAAAAATATAAGCATCTAGATGGCTACCCTTCAAAGAGTACAACCATGTAATTTTGGTATAAGCCTTTGTGCTTATAATTCAGTGCATAACAAATGAAGTAGAGATGACACATAGATGCATGATATGCAAAACGTTTTGCTGTGGGTCAGAGAATGATCAGAGAATCTGATCATTACACATGGCATGGCAGCACACATAATAAAACAAAAGAAGAGCAGTCAGCAGCCATATTCAAGGAGCAAATGAACATAAGGCTCAGATGCTATGTTTGCATGGTTCAACTCGCATCGACCATTAGCAGTGAGTGTAATAGAAAATCCGTGGTGAAACATTTCTCAGTTCCCAAATTTCGCTTTTACTGGATTACGGATGTACAAACCTTTGCCGCAATGCTAATTTCATCTCCGAGTAAACAGAGAGAGCTTTAAATGATTATCAAATGGCATGCCATTAAAATGGACATTAGCGAATTTCTCTGATAGCTTTAAGCTTTATTACTCTGAGGTGAAAAACAAAACCTTACAGGATTAATAATGGTTTGTACAACCTACACAGAAAAGATATTCGTTATTTTCATCAAAATCAAGTTCAGAAGCATACTAAATTATAGAAATCTGAGGTTAGACCTTTTTACTATTAAACCCAATATCTTACTTAGCTTTAGTCAGTTCTATCCATTCTATTAAATTGGAGTCAGGTATTTGAAGAAAGCTTATTTTTTGTTTTGTTTACGCTTAATTTGTAAAACTTTCTTTTTAGTAATGGTTTAAGATTTTTAGTTTTGTGCCATTTGTTTTTACATTTAAATTAACACTATCATAAAATAACAACCCGAAAGGTCATGAACTTGTTTTTATACTTTGAAAGAGTAGACTACATTATTAAAGTTTGAGAAGCCCTGGTGTCGCGAATAGTAAAAGTCGGCCAGCAGCCTCTACTGGGCTCAAGACAGCAAAGCAGAGCACCTCCCTTACAGTGGATCCTCCACAAATATTGGCTGGTTAACCTGAAGGAAAGCACATGTTCCTTGTGGAATTTTAATAATTTGCTTATTTTCTTAGGATGCAGTTATTCC